AATGGTGGCACCCACAGCCAATAAGGAGGGAATATGCAAATTGATGTGACAAAGATGGCAGCACCGGCCGGAGCCATGGAGCCAAGCCAGCCGGAGAGCGGGCGCGGGAGGCTTGGCTTCCTTGGTTGCTCCAGCCAGCTCCATGGCCACCGCCCAGACAAATCCATAGTGGCAGGGCCAAGGCAGAGGCGGTTAGGGGCAATCAGGCCAGGAGGGGAGGGCAGTTGGAGGTGAGAAGGCCAGTGGGGGGGCAGTCGGGGGCTAGCAGGCTGGCAGGCAGAATGGTTAGGGGCAATCAGGCAGGCAGGCAGGTGAGCGGTTAGGAGCCAGTGGTCCCCGATTGTGAGAGGGATGTCCCAGATTGGAGAGGGTGCAGGCCGGGCTGAGGGACACCCCTCCCCCTGCATGAATTTTGTGCACCAGGCCACTAGTTTATAGTATATTTTCACTTTATAGTGAGCATCTTTTCATATCAGTATATTATAGATGTAGCTCATTTTTCATCATGGTACATGGTATTCTGTAATATGTTTCCACTTTATTCTATACAGATATATAGGTGGTTCTCAGGGGTTTGTTTGCTAGTAAAATAGTGTAACTAACATTCCTATATACATACATTTATGAGAATTTCTCCATGACACATATTTAGAATGAAGATTGTTAGTTCAAAGGGTAAGCACATTTAAAATTCGGATAGACACCTGTAATAGGAGATCTTTGAATAGTTTTATGCTAGGGGACAACATCTGAATTTTCTCTAATTTCAACCCCTTAAAGGTGCAGAGTCCCTCAATTCCCCATCTGAAGAAGATGTGGGGACATTTTCAGGTGGGTAGGACTGCACATCAGAGCACCAGGTAGACCAGGAACCCCGATATCACTGGCATTGTCCTCTCAGTCAGCTGGTACCTCCCAGGAGGCAGCAGACCTCGGGGCTGTGAGGGGAACTGGGTGGGTAGGGTTCCCTTGTTCCCTAAGTCAGCCACCCTGGGAACTGGGATGTCATACCCATCTTAGCGATGAGTGAATGGAGGCCCAACATGAGCCGCCTGGCTGGTTCCCTGGGCTGCAGAACTGAGGAGGGTGTCTGAGCTGGACTCAGGCCCTGCCTTCCAAGTCAGGAAGCACATCTGTGGGTGAGGCCTCAGTCTCCTCATGACATCAGAGAGGGTTGGACTAGAAGGTCTTTAGCCTCAGCTCCACGTACCACCCTTCTCTGGAGAGTCAGAGAGCCTGGGGAGTCAGACAGCGGCGCTGGGATCCCAATTCCACTACCTACTAGTCCTGTGATGGGTGAGTCACCTCACCTTTCTGGGACTCAGTTTTCTCTTCTGTGAAATGGGTGATGCTAAATGACTGCCCTCGGGTCAGAAACAAATGGAGTACAGTTGACTGAGCACTCAGCGCAGGGAGGAAGGCTGTGGTTCCTGCAGAGGCCCCACAACATAAACTGACTCTATTCAGCCATCAGGCCCCTGACACAGAACCAAGCACCAGGGGCAGATCCCACTCTGGAGACCAGCTCAAGTGCAGCCCCTTCCCCAGCAGTGGGGCACAGCTGGGACACTTGGGTGCACTGGGTCGGCTCCTCTCAACTCTCCTGGGAGGAGAACATTATGAACCTTCTAGGGTTCCTTGAAGCCCAAGAGGGAGGGGTCGACCTCACCCCATATCTCTGACATGTCTCCCTCAGCACCTGTTACTTACTGGGGAGAGGCAATATTTATCAGTTGTAAATAGTAAATGTTAGATTTGACTATTAAAATCCTGTTTCTTGAACGGTCTGGGAGTTGTGGTATATATAGTTCACTTTCCTGTGCCCATTGAAATGAAATTCAGAATCCCACATCCTCCTTGAATTCAGAAATCTTGCACAGTCATCAGCTTATTATATATGGGAGAAGGGAGAAGGGCCAGCTGCCCTCCCTGGCTCTTGACACCCCCAGGTACCCCTTACCCAGAGGAGAGGTTCATTTCAGCATCCTTTACCTGGGCAAGGAGCAGGGACAGCCCCTCAGAACTCCTGGGGATTTAGGGCTTGAGGGTGCTTTCACAGGCATTGCCACACCTCTGGATATGGAGGTGGCTTTCAAAACAACAATTGCCAGGACCACGTCCTGTCCCAGGACAGTGGCTGCCTTGGGACAGCTCCGGAGGCAGAGGGAACATTTTCTTCTTCTCTTGTTGAGGTTTCTTTTGACCAAAGATTAGGAACTTGTGGTCTGTTGGGTCAACCTCTGGAAGTGCATCAGCACTAAGTAGGGAAAACAACATAAAAAGATTAAAACATGCATGTGGAGAGGATGGGGCCAGAGGAAGATCATTTGCAAATGGACTAAGGGCAGGCAGCACTTTCCATCCTCCGGCCACTCGAGGGCCTCAGTGATTATCCTTTACCTACGTTTGAATCCTCCTGGGATTCGTGTCCAGGATCTGGAGATTCCTTTCTCGCTTGTTTCTTATCAGGGGAAAGATTTGTGATACAACTTTTAAGGCTACAGCTGGGCCTTGTTCCATAAACAATGCTCCCTATCATCTAGAACTTCCACCAGTCCTGCGGCTCCTCATACAATTGTCTTTAAGGCAGAAATTTCCTAGGAGGCTGCCAGCCCCTCTAGCAAGTACATTGTTGCTGCTCCTGCCAGATCACAGGTGAGATCTGGGTTGACAGGGTGAGACCATAATCCTGGCCAACGAATGTCCCCATAATCTCCCTTGCTGCCCAAGGTAATTTCTGGGCCCTTGTGGTTCTGAGGCATACGGTCTCAAACAGTCACCAGTTTATTCAATCGTATTGTTACCAATGAAACCCAAAAGGGAAGCTGAACCTGAGCCCCTAGAACTTGTAGCCCCTGGGATGGCTGTATCTTTTCCACAGTCTTGTGCTGTGTGCATGTCATGGAAGGTGTGGTGGGAAGTATTAGTATTAATTAACATAGTGAATGTTTTCAATCTGGGTGAAAAACAGACACTGCTCTGCATTTACCCTCAACACCCACCCCATGATCAGGAACTAAAGGCTTACCACTTGCATTTGGAACATTATCTCTTGGAAATATCCTATAAGAGCAAGGGCCAGATTGCTTGGCACTTCTGAATGACCTCCCTCTTTTCTGACGGCTGCAAATGTCACCCAGACACTCATCAGGCAGACTCTGCCAGGAAGGCCTTTTCAGGACAGCCAGAGCTGAGGATAAACCCTGGTTCCTGGCAGCCCAGGCCTTTCGTGATAGGGCACAGCCACCCAGCAAAGTGATTATCTAAAGTAAAGACAGATAAGGCTGTACTTTGCCTCCAAAGAGAAAGAGAAGTGCCCGTTCCCAGGGCTGAGAAGAAGGCATGGGCATCCGATAGGTTTCTCCTGCAGGGCTACGAGGCTCCTGAGACCCAACCCTACATGTAGGAATATTTAATAAGTCCTGTGCCCACCATATGGCCGGAAGGGATAATTTATTGTATCTTTGGGTTTCCAATGGCCCAAAATGCACTGATAGTCAACAAGAAGGGACCACATTTGCAGCAAGAGTCTATCTCTGCAGCCTTCTTTAAAAATTCTACTTTTTACATTATATACATATATTATATATTCATTTTATATTTATTCCTTGGGAGTTCAACCAGGAGACCAGGAGTTTGATCGCTTGCTATGATGTGCACTGACCCCCAGGGAGCAGCGCAGAACGAAGGAAGGCCCCGACCGGCAGCCGGCAGCCAGGGAAGGGAGGCCCCGGCCAGCAGCTGGAAGGTCCCAATCGGCCCTGATCACCAGCCAGGCCTAGGGACCCTACCCATGCACGAATTTCGTGCACCGGGCCTCTAGTATTATATATTACACATTATATGGTATAATATATATGATGTACTCAAACTTATTCATAACAGAATAGAGAATACTCATAACCATCAAATACATGTTTTTGCAGCTGTTCACCTTTTCATAGCTGGTATTTATAGCTAACATCTTCCATTTCCCATTTCATATTCCCTTTGTCCTTATCAAGCACCTCAGCAGTTTGTGGTTCTTTGCCTGGTTGGGGGCTCTGAAGGGTCTGGGTCATTAGTCATACTGCCTGGATTGCTTTCTTTCTTTCTTTCTTTTTTTGTAGTTTTCCACTGACACTAATCACAGGACATGGTGATATTAAGAAAGATGCTAAAGAATTTCCTGAATTCCAGACATTGTCTTCCTAACCTCCACTGCAGAGTAGCAGAAGGAAGCCTGAGTCCAAGTAACATCAAGGCTATAAAGACTGTGCCTGCTTTGGATGTAAAGATGAATAAAACTCAGGGAGGAAAAACAATTAAGTCTTTCCCCACACCCACCCACACCTTTCTCTGCATTGAATCCAATTAGACAGTTCTAGCACAGGCTGCCCAACAAGCAGCCCAAAGCATCGCAGGCATGAGGCAGGCTGTGCTGTCCTGCTTTGGGTGTGTGGGAATAGACCGCATGATCTCTACACAGAAGACCACAGCTGAAGATACCCAAGGGCTAAAAATTAAACTTACACTAATGCTACCCATTCACACATTTTTGGTGTGAGCTTCACATCCTTAGTCATTCTCAGGAATGCTTTCTCTAAAGATTATAATAATGATAATATTAAATAATGATAATATCAGAAATATTAAACTTAACAAGGAAGAAAAAAAATGCTAAGAACCTAATTTAAATACCCAGCCAAACTATGCGTCAAAGAGAGAGATAAAGACCTTTTTAGGCATACAGACAGTCTCAAAGTAACCTCCCACAGGCCTTCAGTAAAAGAACCAGTAAAGAATGTACATCAGGAAGAAGAAATGTAAGCCTAGAAAAATATAACATAAATAATGAGGAAAAGAAGAAAATTAGTGTAACTAAATTAGTATTAATTTTAATGAAAGACATTAAAACACATTCTAACTAAAATTTCAGATGATTACCACATGGGAGAATAGAGGAGAGAAGATTCAATTTAAAAATAATTCATTTTTAGGGAAGATATAAATACTATAGATACTCTATTATTGTTTAATTACTCTCAGGAAGTGATAAATATGTTACACAAATTTAGTAATGATAAAGAGGATTTGATAATACAACATGCTTGATCAGGTAAATAGACAAATAAATCCCAACAAGCAGTAGCTCATTGTTAGATCAATGATGCTAAAAACAGTCTCTCTTGATATTGTAATCTCCCAAATGGCATGTCAATCTTCATGAACTAAATTGAAACACATATAAATCTAAAAAATGAAGGCAAGTCTGGTATTTCATTATATGCAACTCTAAGTTAATGTGCAACAAAGGACAGAAAAAATACAGACCTAGAAGAAGATATCTTATTTTAGAACATAAATATAAAAGCTCCTTAATAAAATACTATTTTGGAATCTACAGGAATATTACACAAAAAGGACAATCCATTCTGACTGGTAGGTTTTACTTTGTGACTGTGAGGGCAAAACACCAAATAACCCCATGACTTTGATAACTCTCTGTTGACTTTAAAGTACAAGTAAATAACACACATAGCAAAGGAAAATGAGAGTACAACATGAAAAGGAAAGATCTTTCTCTCTTCACCTGGAACCAAATCTCTCACCTCAAAAAGATCACTGTCTATATATCCTATGTCACATGAAGAAGTTTAATACAGACACACATTGGTATATTTTAAAGTTTTAAAAGCTCCAAGCAAGAAAACATTCGGGACACTGCAAAGAGACATTAACAACGTGTTGTTCTCCATTTCACCTGCACCGTCTTCTCTTTTTTTTTTCCTAGTGTTTTTCAGGATGTTCTTCTTGGTCCCTCACTTTCTCTGTCTCACTAGCGAGTCTGTCTGCAATTAACGCTCTCGCCAGTCTCTCTCTTGCCATCTTCATTTTCCTTTCCTGTTTCTTGATATCTTTCTCGGTTACCAGGAATTGTTTGCAGGGGAGCTGTGGGATGCTCAGACCAGCTCCTGGAATCATCTCTGCCCCATGTGAGGACCTGGCAGGGTTGGACATGGAGCGGCCGCGAGGACCCCCTGTGAGAACACCAGGCAGGGACTCACCTGTGCAACTAGGCACAAGTGTTTGCAGGGCTTTGGTAAGATCGAAAGGACTTAAGAGTTGTCCTGTGCTGCTGCAGGCCTGGAGTCCTTGAAGTCTCTTCTGCCAGCACACCTGTTGGGGCTTGTCCAAGGTTTCCTCCCACTGATGATATCTGACCTCATTGCCCGGGTGGGATGTGATTCTCGTAACTGGACTCTTGAATATGTTACTGGACATCCTCAAAGGGATGGAGATGCTTAAGTCAGGCTTTGGTTTGGATTGGTTTACCCAATCATGACACTTCCTCTGTGAAGTCTTGACCATCGTATCTCTTTTCCATTTACTCTATAAAAATAAATCGTGAAATTGGATCTACATGATAAATGAAGCTTGCCTTCTTAGGACAATTACTTCAGCTGTCTTGTACTTCCACCCTCCCTCTGGGGATAGATCTCACCTGCATCCTGGGAAATCATCAAGCAGATTTGTCAAGAACAGAAAGCTCAAGGTCAAAACCCGGAACCTAGTCCAGATCATTTATCCTCCAACATCTTATAAGACCCTCTTCTTTATGAGTATGATTTTATTCTCTTTTTGTCATTGTCACTCTCACTACACCTGATTTAGTCTTGGTACTCTCTCATGATACATAGTACCCAATCTTTTTCTAAGTCCAAATTCCTACCATTCTTTTGTATTATGTGAGTATTCATTTGGCGCTAACACATTGACCGCTTGGATTTCAGAGCTAAAATCATTAGTGGCATCACCAACCAACCCACTTTTAGCGACTCACTCCCATATCCCAGAAGTTTGGTCATGTTCAAAAATAAATAATTCAGAAAACATATTCACACACTACAAATGTCTGATTTCTAATATTTTTAAACACTCATACAATAGATACCCATTTTTCAAGATTGGAAGTTATGCCAGATCACCAGATTCTTATCTTAATTTCCCCACTTTGTATCAATTAGAAGGCATGGTTCTTTGGAAAAGACAATAATCCTGGGAAAAATAGAAGGCAGCAGGGAAAGAGGAAGAATAAATAGGAGATGGACTGACTCCATAACAGAAGCCATAGGCATGAATCTACAGGAGCTGGACAGGGCTGTTGGACATAACTCATTCATAGGGTTGCTGGGAGTCGGAGCTGACTCAATGGCACATAACACACACACATTCCTATTAATTCTGGATTCCATGGACTATGATCTCAATAATTCCCTGGAATAATCCAAAATTCTTTACCACTCATCATGTCTACCTTGTAAAACTTCAAATTTAAAGATCTGATTATCTACCATGCTATTGCTACTGCTGGTCTTAAGATAATTGCACAATATTTGGGTACCACTGTTAATATGATGAAATCACCTACATCTATCATGAAGCACCCAAAATGCCTAAAAATTTTACTTTTTTAAAATGTGTTGACATATTTACTCCTCAATTTTTCCTAAAGCCTGTTTCAAAATTTCTCCACTTTTTTCTTTCATATATATTTGATATCCTTTCATTGGTCTGCTATTTCACAGAAAACTTGTGAAAATACTACTAGATTGAAATTTTACCTATGTAGTTGCCAAATCTGCAAGTATCTCTGATAAGCTTCCGTTGCTTCCCAATTTGCTCTAATAATACTTAAATTTCTTTTATCCTCCAGTGGTGATCTGGATCTCATCTCTTCTTCCTTCTTATTAAGCTCTTCTTACCAACATTTCCATATTTCCCCTACTTATTTTTGTTGTTGTTAATCCTCATCCGAAGATATTTTTCCATTGACTTTTTTTTTTAACAGAGAATGGAAGAGATGGGGAGAGACAGTGAGAGAGAAACATCAACTGGTTGCCTCCCGCAGGCACCCTGACCAGGGCTGGGGATCGAGCCTGCAAGTAAAGGTAGGTGCCCTTGACCAGAATCAAACCTGGGACCCTTCAGTCTGAGGGCCGTTGCTCTATCCACTGAGCAAAACGACTAGGACACCCCTATACTTTTAATCTCTCTTTATGAACTGAATCCTTCCCTCAGCATTACATAGCTGCAAGTCTTTCCTAACTACATGGAAATTTCTCACCTGGTCTCCCTGGACCCTTCTTTAACCACTGCTCTTTCTACTCCCACTCCTTAGTTGTGAACCATTGAGAAAAGTCATCTGCAGTATGTGTCTCTGTGGCCTCACCTTCACCCACCTCCTCCGACCAGCCTCAGCTGCACTGCCACCTGCCCTTACCATTCTAGGCTAAGGTCACAATGACTCCTTTGTTACTAGACCCAACAGGAACCTTTCATTGCTCATCTGACATGATCTTTAAGTGGGAAACTTTTAAATATATTTGGATAACTTATTTATGTGAATATTATTTTATGGCTGTGAATCTTATAAAATCTAAAGCAAGAGTATGTTATAAATGGAATGTACAAACTGGACTACTGGACTCAGTACAAAAAATGTAAACGAACTTAATGTGTACTCTGATGACATTTAGAAATCATAATAGCTTGGCTCTAATGGGTGAAAATATACAACTAAAATTACTTTCACCTGTTTTGACTTTATTTAATGTGGCTACTAAAAATTGTATTTCATAATATGTAGATTGCTTAATCCTACTATTGGACAGAGCTGGTCAAGCCCTGAGGGAAAATAAAGACCGAAGAAAGTAGTCAGGGAAAATTTTCCCAAGGTAAGAAGTATACCCTGGCCCCCACTGCAAGATGCAAACACACACACACACTCTCTCTCTCTCTCTCTCTCACCCACACACGTACACTAACAAAACCAAACCAGTGCTGTCCCAGAGTGCCATCACTACTCAAATGCCATGAGGTTGCATTCCCACATAGTCCTAACTGGACTAATCTCAAGTGAGAAGTCAGAAGTCAGTTAGGAAGAGCCAAAACCAGAGACTAAGGGTCAAGATTTGTATTCATTCCCCTCTCTTTGGCTTCTATTAAACATTCAATATGTTTGGAAAACTTTTTCAGGGAGGGTTGTTTTAAAAATCCCTTTACCTTTATTATGTGTAAATATCCAAGATATGTAAAGAATAATTACTCTAGCCAATAAATGAGGAGATGATAGAATATGAATATCATTATTACTAAATCACTATTGGATTAGTGAGCCAGTCAGGGGACAGGTGACACTGGGTTAATTTGGGCCTCAGTAAGCTGATTCTGATTAGAGTACTGTCATCTTGATTGCTCTATGCTGGGACCTCTGAAACGTGCCAGCCCCACCTACTGTTTAACTACCAAAGCCCACCAGACAGGCAAGGCCTTACTGACAAATCCCCTGCTCCACTCCCCTGACAACACCTGGAGGGGTTTCCAAAATCCCTCTTAGTCATGACACTCTTCTACCTGCCACAGGCCAGGAAAACATTTTCTGTGGTGCCCATTTCTGGGGGTGACATTTCTCCCGTGGGTAAAGGAAAGATCAGGGTGCAGACCTAGTGAATTGCAGAAATTAACACAAAAACTGGGGTTTGCTGACAGAGAGAAGAGAACCTGTAGTGTGCACAGCTACCAGGGTCCACAAAGCCCCAGGGGTCCCTAGGTAGCATTGAGGAGACAGGTGCAGGACAGAGCAGGTACTTTTAGGTGTGATGCCTGTAGCATGACATATGTGATACTGGTAATGCATTCAACCATGTTGGTCAGTGATTTATTCATCTTATCTCATGGAGTGCTTTCAACATACATTCAGGTGCTAGTACCTGCCCTTGAGAGTTTATAGAGTCGGAAAATGTCTTACATTTTATTTATAACATGCAGATAAAGCACATGTGGGAGTAGTCAGCCAACAGACAGGAAGGAGATTTTCTTTGTTGGCTAGTATGTAAACAAATTTTCTTTAAAAAGGAAGTGTTTTCTCCACTTGAAGTATTCAAGTCTCCTATGATCTATATATTCTCTAAAAGTTTATGCTTTATATTAGTGTAACACTGTTTTATTTGGTATGTGAAGGCTGAATACTATTATATTTTCTTGGTGATTTTATCTTATATCAGAAGATGGTAAACCTCTTTATCCTAGTTAATCTTTTTGCCTTGAAGTCTATATTGATAATTCTAACAATACCCCTATTTTGCTTTGTTGAGATCAGTCTGTTATAGTTGTGTTTATTTCTCTATTATCTACTTTTCTGTTATTTTACGTGTGAAGTTATTTTTGGGGGGAACAGAATTTTTCTAGATTTCTCTTGTTCTTGGGACTTTCAATTAGTTCTAGGTTTTCAATTGACCTACATTGTGTAAAAGTTTGTTTTTCTCTATTTGCATTGGCTAAGGCTAAGCATCTAGCCCCGCGTGACCCTGGCACCACCGTCAAAGCAAACGTAGACTGAAAGAGTGATTTCTTCAGTCAATTATTTTGACCTTTTATCAGGATTGTGTGCATTTGTCCCATACACCTAAACCTGCCAAGTCTGTTAAACACACAGGTACATGCACACTTATGCAAACGTCTCAAAGATTCTAGAAGCTTTTCACCCACAAAGAGACCTTGAGTAGGAACATGTTCAACCAAAGTGAGAACTGGAAAAGATCTCCCACAAACTAAGCAGCCTTACCACTTAACACAGTTGGAAACTGGGCAGTTGGGCAGGGATTGCGTGTGTCCGTGCCATCTGAAGGGTTCAAGGCCAGAACATTTTTCTGCTTGACAAGCTGTGTGGGGTCAGGGAAAGAGAACCGATTTTCTGAGTTAGAAGTGGTAAGTTCCAGTCTTGGCCAAATCACTTCCTGGTGATCATGGGAAAGCTATGCTTCACCTGCCAATGGGAAAGTGGTACCTCTCTACATCAATGTATAGCAGACAAAGACAATAATGAATTAACTATTTACATATGCAAAATATTTTCAAATTCTCCAAATCCTTTCAGACCTCATCTCACTTTTCCCTGGCAACAACCCTGTTAGGTTGGTATTATTATCACCCCTATTTTACAGAGAAGAAAGTAATTTCTCTAAGGTGTCCCAAGTTAATAAAAATGCAGATTCAGGACTCGAGCCTAGTTTTCTGATTCTAAATCCCAGGACCATTTCATTGTACCCTTCCCCTTGACAAAACATTTGGAAAACAAAAAGCACATCGCAAATGTAAGGAACTGGTGTTAATTTTCTGAAAGAGACACATGTGAAACTTCTTGTCAACCTGCAAAAGACTGCTGGGCTGCAGGCAGATCAAAAACTGGAAGAAAATGCAAGAGATTTTCTGGTCCTGCCCTTTACATATGTTAGACAAGCAAGTACTTAAATCTTTGCAAGACAGAAAAACATCTGTTACTTTTTTGGCATTTTTAAGACCCTAGCTTCCACAATCTTCTTTG